AGGCGGGGGCGGAGCCCGCCCGCATGTAGGGGCGGGGCCTCTCCGTGCCCGCCCCGCGTGTCCCACCCGGGATTTAAACGCTGCGTCGAAACTTCCCTCTGGTATTCAATGTGTGCCGCACATTCCTGTAGCTCGGAGTGACCCTGGGCGAGACTTCCCACACTTCGGACCGCTAACAGAGCTGGACACTTAAGATGAAGTAGTTAGCAAAGCTTTTGGGAGCAGCTCAGACCCAGGTCCCGTAACCTGCCTTAAGAGTTCCTCTGTGCTCCTGAGCTAGTCTTTCCATCCACTTTTTGCAAGCTTCCTGCTTGCAAAATGAAGTATCTGTCCCCCCAAAACTCTAGCAGTGACTGAGTTACTCCATAGATACCGCTCTCTAATGGGAATCGAATTAAAACCATTCAATTTCTAATTTGCAATGTAAGCCAATTAATAAAAAAAAATCCAAATTATTAAAGTATGCCTTTTGTCAAAGGCTAAATACTTCCTTTTTGTGCTTATTTTAATATAAAGGAAATACTAAAAATTACGCTGGATGAAGCCTGATGGATGTACCAGCTCAGAAAGCAGTCTGTGTGCCTTAGGACTCTCCTGCTGTATTGGTCCATGGTTTGAAATCCTGGGGAATGTTCTGAGGAGATTAAATTCCTGTCATCTTAATTAGTGTCTTAAGAGCTGAGTGGGTCTCATTTAATACCAGGTTTTATTGCCCTCTTTTCAAAGGCTGAAATTCAAAAGTATCACTGAAATGTTGATACGGACTTTACAATGAAAATTATTGGAAAGTATTGCATATATTTAAGTTAGAGAGATATATATGATCTACTTACAGAGGCACCTGCTGTACTACAAAAGGCATTTAACATATATTAAAAAATTACTTCAGATACTGCTTTGCAAATATGCTGTTATAGACTGAACAAGAATTAGTTGATGATGTGGTAGTAAACTTGGAAATCATATCGATTCTCTTTTCAGAAGCAAATCTGAACAAGGAAGAAAACAAACCTGTTTAGAGATTTTAATGAGTCCTGGATTTTATCATAAATTAATACTAATGAGTTCCACTTGAAGTGCCTCCTTTTTGATGTTTTTTTATGATTGAAACTTTGGGTGGTCTGTCTTTAATGGAGATCTCTTAGTGTTCAAAGTGAGATCCTTTTTTGGGGGGGACATGTGCTGGTTTTTTTTGGTTTGTTTTTATTTTCAAGCATAAGGAATTTGTGCTTATATCTTCTGGGGCATACAAAACACTGGAGCTGCAGTTTTGTCTGGCTAGTTGTGCCTGCACAGTGAACACTGCTGAATGTGGAGACTCCCCACATAATCCTAATTTAGTTTATGGGGTTTTTTTCCAATCTATTAATAGAACAAAATACTAGAATGCTTAAATATGCATCATGAGTAACTGGTCTGCTTTTGAAGTGAAAACAAAAGCTGCCTACTGAAATGATTGTGGTTTTTTTTATCACTTCAAGCATGGTCCCAGGTGTGTTAAATATGGACTTCTTTCCTTTTTCTTTCCTAGTCCTAACCAGGACATGCCCAGTGGGACCAATATCTTTTTTATGGTCGTTGCTGCAGACTATTCCATGAGAAAATGCAGACTATGCTATTGAGCTGTTCTTGCTATTCTTAGAAGTCATTATGATCCTGTAGGTTTTCTGAAAATTGGGAGCAGTATTTAAAGCCTGAGGGATGCCTCCCACCAGGCAAGGCTTGAAGAAGCTGGCCAGGGTCAGGTCCTGTCCGCTGCACTCGGCTGAGGCAGTGCCGCAGTAGTGCCTGCCTGCCAGAGCACTTTATTTTTGTCCAGTGATTATCAGGAAGGCTTCCCGGGAGGAGCTGGGGATTACAGGACAAACAGCACAAAGCTGTAGGAAACCAGGTTTTGGCAGTTGTGTTGCAATTTGCTTTCTCAGCAGCCCTCTCTTCTGCAGGTTGTCTCTAAGAGGCCTTAAAATGGGTTGAAATACAGTATTTTTGAGCATTCTTGCTGAGATTAATTTTGGGTTTTTGACCAGAGGCTTTCTGCTGTTAGGGGCTTTGCTTTGCTTTTGAAATGCCATCTAGGCAAGGAATAAACAGTGGAAGTTGGCTTAAACACTGTTAATCTGAATAAACTGGAAACAGCATATTAATTTGAAATATTGTTTGTAGGCTTCTGAGTTTCAAAACAAAAATAAATAATAAATGTATCTCCTCCTGGTCTCGAGGAATCTCATTATTAAGAAGAAAATTTCAGATTTTTATGATGCTGAAAGATGACTCAATTTACAAGGAGAGAAGGCTGCTACAGAGGAACCTTAAAAAGCCTCATGCAAGTAGAGTTTTATTGTTATTGGAAATTAAAAGATCACAAATAAAAAAATCCACTAAAAGACAAAGCAATCCTCCCCCCAAGCAAAAATCCCCCAGAACACTGTCTGCAGTGTTGTGTAACCAAAGTGATAGTGTTATGCAAGGGGGAGAAGAGTCAAAAAGTGAAAGGATTGTAAACAAGAGCTGGGAAGGGAGGGAATGCCACCCTGTGTGCTGGGTTGTGGCTGGGTTTTGTTGTGTTTCTATGCTGCTAATCACCAACACGAAGACACTAGATTCAGGATTTAGGCAAATTCTGTTGAGGTAAGCTGGTAGGGAAAGGGTAAAATGAAGAAGTGTCAAGGGAGGACGAAGAAATGAGCAGAGGGAGAGGAGAGGTAGAGGAGCAGGAGTCATTGTGGGATGAGGAACCTGTAGCTGCAGTGGCGGAAGGGATGTGGTCAGGCTGTGGTAAACTACAATTCCCAGCCATATCCTCATGGGTAATTAAGGCATTAGGGGAGGATAAGCATAAAGTCACTTTAAACATCAGTTGCTTTACTGTGTATGTCTGGTACTTGTTTCTTCCCTTCCCCAGTACTTATTTAATATCAGTTTTTCTTTTTACAGTACTTTTTAGTCTTTTAAGTGGAGTGTTTATTCAATAGATGAAAAGCAAACTGTTTGCCAGTTTAGCAGAATTTCAGCTGTTCTGGTTTTGAAACCTCAAGTAAAAAAAAAAAAAAAAATCTGTGAAATGGTTTACCCATGACAAAAAAAGCTTTTCTCAGAATGAAATCACTCTTCCAGTATACCATTCTGCATTACTTCTGTTCCCTCCCTCTTTGCCTTAATTTTTTCCCCATCTCGAAGATTTTAAGTTTTGCTCTGGAAACTCACTTCCAATACAGGTGGAATGAAATAATTTTTGGAGCTTTCTGCCAAAATTAAATAAAATTTGTAAAAATGTAAATTGTGTAACTTTGTCAAGCCAAGTACTTGCACTAAAATTTGTTTATAATTTTTTTGCAGCTGATACTTTGTTTTGCTCCTGTACCTGTGACGTTTTCTTGTGTGTGTATGTGTGTGAACTTCCTGGAGAAATGCCAAGGGCTGGACACTGTGGCAATAGCAGCTTATAGAAGTTCTTTTTGATGTCACTGTAGTGAGATGAGCACACCCAAATGTCTCACATTATCTTCAGGGCAGAAACATTGTCTGAAATTTCCAAGTTAATTGAGTGATTTTCCTCTTGAAAAGTAGTTTACTTATTTTTTAGCTACGTGTTGTTTAAGTATACTTGGTCAGGCACTCTAAATTAGTTAGTGATTTGTCAGCTCTCTTTAGTTCAATGTTTGTGTTCCATATGAGGGTACTTTGATTTCTTCCCCTCTTTCCTCTAAAAGAGTTAAAAAGAAGTACCTCAGATTAAAAGAAAAATAAATAAAAAAATCGGTAATGGCGTTCATTGCGATTTTGGAAATTTGAAACTGCACCAAAAGGCTATGTGGTATTTGAGGGAATGTGATTGAGTTCAAACACAGCACTATGAAGTTTTGTGCTGCCAGTTCTTTGAATAACCTTCATCTTCATAGAGGTACGTGATCCACATCTCCAGAGTACTTTTTTGCTTGAGTAGCTCCACTGTGTGTGGGTGTTTCCTGGGTTTCAGGAGTAGCAGCCTGTGCCTGTTAAACCACTCAGACGAAGGGAGGTGGATGGTAAAGTCAGAACAGTTATAAATTCATTGCTAAGTGCATGCAGATACCAGGCTGATGATGCTCTTCTTGGACATCTTCTTGGGGGGTCAAACACAGGGGCTCCTGAGCTCACATTAACCCCATAGAGGAACTGTTCAGTTCTGTTTTAGCCATGCACAATTGCTCTGACTTGCTATAGTTATTTGCCAGTATGTTAGGGGCAGGGAGGCATTGGTGTCTGAATTGGTACTCCTTTGGATTTACAAATTTGCAGGCCTGCTAGCTTTTACAAGAGGAAGGACACGAGTCAGCCACATGCTGAGAGCATTGCTGAGTCACCAGAGCCTTTAGAATTTGGGGCTCCAGTTCTCAACAGTGCATTTCCCTGTCTGATCCTAGAATGGGGTTCATCCTGAACAGCTCCAGTCCACTGGGAGGACTTCGTGCTGAGCTCCTCTTTAGGCTGAAGTTATTAGCTTATTTATAAAGGTTAAAATCCTGGGGATTTTAATGGTATCATTTATGATCAGCAGCAGCATTACCAAACCTGGTCTCAGTGATGCTATCATTTATGATCAGCAGCAGCATTACCAAACCTGGTCTCAGTGATGCTAGGAGGGTGATGTACAGAGATGAAAACTTTATGGATGAAGTGCACATGTTGGAGCAATGACAGGTGAATAAAGCATACAGAGAGTGGTAAGGCACTACTGGAGTATGTGGCTCTCTATGTTTTGCTTCATGTTTTGAGGGTTAAGGTGCAAGTATCCCAGCTGGTATTTCTCAGCTCTAAGTTTCCACAGCTCACTTTAATGTTTGCACTTTCAGTGTAAAAAAACTGTAGTTAAAAACAAGCAAAGGCTTCAGACAGGTATTTTCTTAAAATCCATATGTGTCACAAAGGCTTCAGACAGGTATTTTCTTAAAATCCATATGTGTCAGTCTCAGAATCATTGACCCCTATGGGATCTGTGCATTGAAAATTGCTGAGCTAGGCAGTTGCTGTGGAGATCAGGGAAACTGGAGACATAAAAAGGAGAACAGTGGAAGTGCTGCTCAACTAGTACACAGTTCAACAGAATTTACTGTGGCATTACTGTGCTGCACTCACTTTTGCTCCTGCTCTCTTATGGTTTCCGGTTTTGTCTCTAGTTTCTTAATGAAGAGCTGATGGGAACTTATCTTTCAGGCTTCTGCAGGCCATGTTCAATTAAATCCTTCATTGGGTTTTTTTAACCATCTCCTAAACAAAGCTGTAAGTACTGTGCAAGTGATTCCTGTGTGGAGCAGATACTGTATGACTTGGCAGCATAGCTGCTGATAAGAAGGGGTGAAGGCTGACGTTGGTCTTTTGATCCCAAAGTGTGGGAACTCTTTGTTAATTGGCAAGCCACAAACAAAAGGATTTGTCAAGGAGTACTGTCTTTTCTCAATTTGTTATGAAAAATAATCTGTATGTATTACACAAACGTTGCCTGATGAATAAAGAGTAGTATACAAAGGTACTAGAAAGAATCTCTTATGGTAGGAAACTTCAGAACTTAGAGTTTTCTGTTTTGGAAGCATTGGTTTCTAACATGTATTTATATGAATATATAATAATTAATCAAATTCTTGCTTTACATAGATTTACAGTAAATATGTTTCTCACAGTAGTGTCAGTCACATTGCTCAAGGTCATGTTTTTCAGTTTGGGCAAGGTTAGATGACAGACCTGAACTTTTTGGATCTTATTTCTCAGACTGATAGAATCAAAAATGAAATGAGGTATGAACAGTTATTCTCCTGAGATGTAAACACTTTCATTGCACATGGAACAGACTCTGAATGAAATAAAGAAAAAACAGAAAGAGTGTTCTTGTTTGACTTGGGAGGTAACATAGTCTGTGTTCTTTAGATAATGTCCTTTTGTATGGAGTTATTGAATGATGTTGAAAGAATGAAATGTATAACAGAGTTGTTGTATTTGTACTGTGTCATGAAAATGAAAAAATTTACATGGCCCATGTTATTTTCAGGTTTGCTGTAAACTACCTACCGTAGCTATAATGACACCAGCCGTCAGAGAGGCAACAACAAAAGGTCATGGTATCCACTTGTCACCTTCTTTGTCCTCTAGAGCTATGGAGTCTGATACAGCTTTGTGCGTGGAAAATTCCAGAGCAGTGGAAGAGAAGATAAAAGAGGACTCCATTGCACAGATTACTTGCTCAGTCCTGGGGTTTCCCACTGCTGAGCCCAGCCTCAGGAATGATATCTTCAATGTGCAGCATTTTGGTTCCCCACCATCCTCCAAGTGCTATCAGTCTGTCTTGTTAATGAGTACAAATTCTGCGTTTAGCAGCAAAACTGGTAAGCAAACGAAAGCAGGAGAGCCTGGCTGCTCCAAGATGAGAAAGCCGTTACATAATGGTGCTGACACACCATTTGGTCATATTAATCGTTCAGAACCTGAGCAACAGGTCAAAGGCGCAGCGTTTTCAGAGACCACATCTCCAAACTTGGCAGGAATGCAGAGACTTTCAGGTTCAAGTGTAACTGAATCCAGTAACGCAGAAGAAATGCAACTTTTAAATGGTAAATGGTACAAGAAGAATGGGGTTTTGGGTAGGGCTTTGGAAGTCTGCACTGAAACAATAAAAGGGGATTTATTACACCAAATTCTTCACGGGCCTTCAGAAGGGATTTTGAGCTGCACCCAGGAGGAGGTGTACGCTCGCTTACTCCAGTGTGTCACTAAGCAACAAATGGAAATCAGTCGCGCCAAAAGAACTCAGAAGCGTTTACAAATGCTCCTGGCAAAGCATGTTATCAAACACTGTGATCAGCAGCTGAAATGCTTTGTGAAACATCAGCTTCAGAGAATGAAGGTTTTCCATGAGCCAGCTAGATTTTTGAGCAATAGCTCCCTCAGATGCACTGAAGGTTGGCCGGAAAACAACACAACTACTTCAGAGAGTAGTTTGAGTGTGGATGTACAGAACGGAGTTAGTGTTGCACCAGGAGAAATCCGTGGCTTTGCACTTTCTACTGGAGGGCTGCTGTCTCGTGTGGAGAAGGACCTGGACTCTGATGCAACATGTAGCAGCTCAGATGAAGATGGTGAGGAACAGACTGTAAGAACAGCTGTGGAAGCGTAAGTGTTAAATTCCTGCTTAGACTCATGTGCTTCTTACTTATAAATCAGGATGGAAAGGTCTAGTCCTACAGATTCCATCTTGTGTGAGTAACCTCGCTCAATAGATATTCTTACTGAAATCAGCAAGACTGACAGTGTGAGCGAGGTTTGGCAAAAAGTAAGAACTTCTAATTAATGCATTTAAGGAGCAGTTGCTTTACGAGATTGCAGAGAGCTAGCATTGGTACTGCACTCTATCAGTTTGCATTACATCAGTACTGCTAATCCTCAAATGGTGCTGTAAATCAAACAGTGGTAGCTATAAATACTTGGGGCCAGAATGAAAATAATTTTAATTTTACTCTGGAGTTATTAAGAATTAGTCAATATTAGGCTCTTGAAATCCACTATATTGTGATAAAGAGTAAAAATTAAAAATTATCATCTGATGTAGCTATTGAGTATTTGGTGGTTGGTATATTGAAAAAGTTTGGTTCTTTAATTTAAAAAATATTAGTTTACTTACTGAAGTCACTCTGCAACTATGAATGTAGCTAGCAATGGTGTTTTTATTGTTGCTGATACCTTTTTCAGGAAGAACCAGGGGGAAATACATATCATTAACCTGTAGTGTCTCAAGTTGGCAGGAATCCTGTCAATACAATTACAGTGGCTTTGAAAATCAGTGGTGGGCAAGAGGAGATAGTAAAATGGCTCTCTGATGATGATACAACCTTTTTTCCTTTTTTTTTACCTCTACCTTGCTACACTTAGTCTCTTCAGTCAAGAAATTTTAGAAAGCAGTGAAAGGACAGCTGCTTTCCTCTTCCCAAAGCTTGAGATACAAGCATGTCTTAAGGTTTGTTGGGATATAATAGTCAGGACTGTGATACCCAGAAGAGAGCTGCACACAAATGCAGCAGCTTTGTAGGAGCTTCATGGCAGTCATATTTCACATGGGCTCTTATAGACACAGGGTTTGTGTTTACCAGTCTTTCCTTATATACTCTGCTGTTAGAGTGTGTCTAATAAAAATAAATTAAAAACCACTTAAAAACATGTAGTTCCCATTCTGCTTCCTGAAAAGCATAACGCTCAGAAGAAACCAAGTAAGCTTCTGAAACTGGAATAGCTTTGCCCTGTTGCATGTTTCTAGCTTCAGTCCAGCAAGGCTGTATCAAATCTCTGCTGTGTTTTGCTGAGCTCTGTAGGTCTGAAAAACAGAGGAGAAAAGTTTTCATTTCCTTTTACGTATTGTCAGAATGGTAAATACTCTGCTGAAGTCCAGCCAAAGCCGGAATTGGCAATGACTTGCCAACTAAGTTAGGAACATCTTAGATATTTGAGTTACAAAATAATTATTCTTTTGAAATATTTTAATAAAAAAATATCATTTGGGCTCTCCCCAGCATAGGAAAATCCACATTCTTCTCGTAATTGATATACTTGAACTTCTGAGTAATAGCTCTGCCTCTAGGATTCTAATCTTGTGATTACATGAACTGAAAAAGAAAACTCTTGAGAAATTCTTGATTCTTGAACAGTAGTGGCTAATGCAAAACTTGGACCAAAGTTTTGTGTGATGGTTTTCTTTTTTCTTCCTGCCAGGGACACTTGAATTTCTAACTCTCCCTGCCAGTCCTTTACCTTTATTCCTTCTTGTGGCTTTTGGTAGTTATCTTTCCACTTAAGGCTTACTCAGTTTACTTTGTTGCACTGATGAAAAAATCCACAGAGGATTATTAAGTGCAAACCCATCACTTTTGGCTCAGGAAATCCCCAAGCTGCTATTGCTGGCAGCTGTGGGAAGCGCTGCTCCCTCCATGCCTGCAGTTATAACACTGTTATCTCAGCTATTCCTAAGAGGCAGGAGAACTGGCTAAGATGATCTGTAGTCTGACTCAGTGTGGCCCTTTATTTTGGGTTGTTTATTCTTACCCCTTTTTTATGCTCTTACTGATGAGCAGTTGTTCAGCAGCAGCGGCCCTGCTACATTGGCAGGGAGAGAATCACTGGCGTTTGAGGTGTGCTGCTGGGCCAGCAAGCTCAGAGTTAAAAGTTACTGCCTGATTTAAGCCAAAGACTTGTCTGTGTGCCTAGGCTAAGGCAATGCTTGAATTAACATTGCAGTGAGGATAGGCTGACTCTTATTTGAATTTATTGTTATCTCCAGCTTAGAATGGTTTTCTTCATTTCTCCAACCTTCCTAAGATTTGCCTTTGTGGCTAAAACGCTGCCCTTTTTCTTCTAGGTAACAAAGGTAATCAGCTATTCACCAGTTCAGCTGGTGAGATTTGCTGTTTCCTGAGCCTTACCACTTTAAGGCCCTCTGGATTGCCTTTTTTTTTTTCTGCTGGGTGGATTTACATGCTTTGAATTGCCTTTCTCTCCTCAGGAATTGGCTATAAGTGCTTTCCAGAAAAAAGGGGATCATGTAGGTGAGACAACACTCATTTCCTCACCTGTGTGGGAATTTCTATTTTGCATAGTGAGGGCTTTTACTCTGAATTCCTCTGTGATATTTTTCATAATACTTAACTGTTGATACTATAAGGTTCAAGTAATATAGTGATGAATGGAAAGAATTTTTTGATTTTGCCCATATCTCAGTATATGATTGCATTTAATTTGAGGGTGTAATCACACTGGTGACTGATCATAGTTGTGACTGTAGTGTTTTTCATTCTTTTTTGTGGGGGAGGAGCTATCAATCCAATGTGCAAGGCAGGGAAGAATCTGCAGTTACTGTGCCTACCTGAGAACAGTCTGTTTCCCATCAGGAGGGAGAAGCTGATTCCAGCTCAAATTCCTCATGCTAGTTAAAAAACCTGGAGTTATTTTTAGTGTTTTGAACCTGTTCATTCTCATTATCCTGAAAAGAGTTTTTCCCAATGAGTATTGACATAAGCTCTTCTGAGCTGTATCTCAGTGCTTTGTGGCTTAGGTAAGATTGTCTTTATCCATCTATTTCAATACCTTTGTTGTTTAGTTGCAAGTAGCTGTTGTAAGATATTTAGACCATTGTTCCTGCATTACATAGATTGTGTCCTCAAGACAGGAAAGGTCCTTGGTCTGCTGGTGAAGGCAGTTCACAGTACTTATTGAACTTCTCTAGTTCCTAGAGTAATTGGAAAGGCTCATCCCATTTCAAGAGCTTGAACAAACCATACTTTATTCTCTTGAGTGTCTGCTAGAAAGAAATACAAAAAAACAGTTGGCTGTCTTCAGGACCTTTGTCAATTTGCTGTTACTGTCAGCTCATGAATGTCTTTAACCTGTCAGTTTTCATAGCACCACATTTCCAGCAGTAATTTTTGGCGTATTTTAGTACATTCCATCCTTTAGGCACAGCAAATTCCCACTACCCAGGGGATGTGGTATTCCTTCTCTGTAGTTTCTAAAAGGCAGCTTTTAGGTGCTGCTCTCTGGCTTGCTGTTAGGTGTTACAAACCAGAGCACCCAAAGAGGACAGCACAAAGCCGGCCACAAGTAATTCCTTCAGGGATTCATAACTAACACTTGATATGCAACATTCCACCAGCTGAATTTACTTCAAACTTGTTGATCTTTGTGGTTCATGAAGATGAAAGATTATACATAGAAATAGTCATAGATTTCAAACAAGGTGAATTGGATGGTGATGTGAGCTCAAAAGATTTCCAACAGCATAGCTCTACTCTGGGAGCAGTGTGTATCCTGCTGGGTGAACTCCACATTCTTACTGATTTATTTTGTGTCTATTCCTGATGTAGTAGGAAGTACAGTGTACCACAAAGAACTCTGGTGCTCAGGTGGTCATTTGGGAATCCTTTAAAGTTGCAGAGTGTAGTACACTACATATCTGATCTTCCAAAATTGAAAGATACATCACTGTGGTTCCTTGAGGAAACAGCTGCTCACTCCATCAAGCAGTAATACATGCATCTAATCAATTAGAAAGAAAAACTGCTTGCAGTAGATTTTTCTGCAAAATAAGTAGCTCTTTCTACTCATGACAAGTCCTGTGCCTTTTTTTCCCAGTTCTCCTTTCCCTATCCAAATACAATCCTTTTGCATTGTTCGTTGGGATTTTCCCTCTGAAATGTTTTCATGCTTTTTCCTCTGATTTCTGAAAGACATGTTTTACTGATTATCCTCCAGCAACCTCAAGCCTGATGAAGACACACTGTTATATTTTTCCATGCCCACAGGGTTTGTTGTGCCTGGAAACTTCTACAATAAATGTGAAGAGATAGTAAATCTTTCTTTTTTCTTTTTTTTTCTCCTTTATTTTTTCCCCCTTAGGTTACTAGTTGGAAAGAGAAGATGGGAAATCTGCTTTTAGCACAAACATGTGATGGGGAGGAGAGCATTAAGGCAGAGAAAATACAAGAAGGAAGAGAAAACATTATGACTAGTATCTCCAGATCTAATCTGTTTGTTCAAGATTATTTACCATTTTTCCTAGCACTTTTTCTTGTACTGAGCAACATCAGTGCAGTTCTGCAGGCCTGGCTATACACAGCACTGCTCAAGGGACAGGGTTTATTGCAAGTCTTTGAGCCATGTTATGAATGTTTTTGCAAGGTCAGGTCCTAATTTTCTACACTGAGCTGTAATTTCACTTCATACCTGACATGATAACTGAATTATGAGTTTGGGAAGAGAAGTAAGAGAGTGCCAGGGCAAAATGCTGCTCATAGGCACAAACCCCCACTTGTTTCCTGGTTTTAAGACCTTTTGTTTCTAAGTCCAGGAAATGTCTTATTTGCATAGAAGATTAATATGAGGGCTTTTGAATAAGTATAAATTCATTGGTGCAAATAATATGCTGATTTAAGAATGTTTTATACTTTGCTTTTTCAAGAATTCCATTTTCTCAATTCTTGGCTCCTATCACTAGGATGTGGGAGGAGAATGAAAGAAAAGATAAAAAAAGCTTTACAATGTCTTCTAATTTAAATGTAAGGTTACACATATTATTTCAGAATATATTTAACCTCACATGGTTTGGTTTCCATAAGATGAATTTATAACTT